ATCCACGTCCCGTCATACCTGGGGGGATGCTGCGGTGTGTCCCCCCCCTCTCCGGGACGTGGGGGCTTCTCACACCGCCGCTGTGCTGCACAGCCCGACCTTTCAGCAGGGGAGGAGGAGGAGGAGGAGAACCGTGTGCGCCACCACCCTCCTCCTGCCCGACAAGCACGGGCAAGTCGGCAGCACGATGGCCGGCGGGCAGGAGCCGGGAGATGAGTGGGAGCCCAGCCCTGCCCCGTCTGGGAGCAGGGAAAACGCCGGCTCTGCCAAACCCAGAGCTGGTTTCACCATCACAACCCGTACCCTGTGGGGAAAAGCATCTCGTGGCGGGTGGGAGACACGACCCCTCCGGATGAAACCCCTTTGCCAAAGCCAGAGGAAGATGCACGGGGTAGAAAACACATGCTGGTGACACGGCTTGGCACCAGCAGAACCATTTTGCACCATGCTGTAGGAGAAAAAAAAAAAAAAAAACAAAACCAAAAACCTTTATCTCCCCCAAAATTTAAAGCTCCCCCCCTATCCCAGCTGCCTCCCCGGGGGCCGGTGCCGCTGAGTCAGCACTGGCACTGCTGAGTCACTGCAGCCACCTCAGCCCCGACGCCAACCGGCTCCGGCGATGAGCTCAGCCGCGGGGGCTTCGGCATCTCTCCGCTCACCAGCAGCCGCGGCACCGGCACTGCCGGGCCCGGGGAGCCACGCAGCGAGGCTTTTGCCAGCATCTCCTCCTACGTTTTGGGGTCTCACCGGCTTTCCCCCCCCCCCCGGCCTCGAAACCTCACCCATCCCCAAAACCAGGCCAACCGGCATCACCTTGAATCCACGGCTACCAAAACACAGCCGCCGGCTGACAGCGTTTCAGCTCTCCCACCCTCCGACCGGTGCCACGGTCCTCTCCAGAAACACCCCATCGTGTACCACCCGCGAGCCGGGGTGGCAGCCGCAGTCGCCATCCGCATCCTCCCCATCTTGCTCGCCGAAAAAGGACTGGGGATGATTAAAAAAGGGCGGAAAAAAAAAAAAAAAAAAAAAAAAAAGATAAAAAAAATCTAATTTTGCTTTTTTTTCCCCCGCTGGGGTCATCAGCACCGAGGGGGATGTGCCGACGCCGCCTCCGGCTTCCCCGGCCCGGTGACGGGGTTGATGACTCACGGGGAAGGAGGGGGGGAAGCGGCGCGTGCACGGGGCCGTCATGTTTGTAAACCTAAAAAAAGCCATGTGCGGGCAGGCAGCGTGCTCTGGCCGGCAGCACCGGCTGCCAGCGGCTGCAGGCGAGGAGCACGGGGACGGGCAGGGGACGGGCAGCCGCTGCCTTCGTGCCGGCATCCCGACCGGGGAAGGCTCGGCTAAGCACCCAGCATGGGTGGGAGAAGTCAGCCCCGCTGCAAGGGCTTGTGTTGCGATGGCTTTCATTTTAATTGGTGTGGCTTTACACGCAAGGGCTTTAATTGCAATTGGCTTTAATTGGTGCAGCTTTAAGCGCAAGGGCTTTAAATGCAACGGAGTTAAGCGCAATGGCGTTAAGTGCAACGGCTTTAAATGCAATGGTGTTAAGTGCAACGGCGTTAGATGCAACGACCTTAAATGCAGTGGCTTTAATTGCAACACCAACTGGGGTTTTCGAAGAGGCTCAAGGTCTTTAAAGCCCCTTGCCCTGTTGCTGCTCAGCCCTCTCCTGCACCCCATCGCCTCCCAGCACAGCATTCGCAACGGGCCGCAGCTCCCAGGCTGCTCCCCCACCCAGTTCGGCCAGGCTGGGAAGTGGGGGGCTGTGGTGACCAGGGCCGTGTCACCAGCAGCCACCAGCTCTGCGGTGACGAACCCTCCAGCCATTACACAGCATCCCCTGCCTCTGCACTGATGACTGCAGCAATTACAACTTGCTCCAATCCGTTTTTTTTTTACAGCATTTTCAGGGCTTGGGGTGGTTCAGGGTGTTTTTTTTTCCCCTCATTTGGCTGCGATGGAAATTGCAGGCTCAGGAGCTCACAGTCCCCAGCTCCCCCATTCGACAGCAAAATCTCATTTAATCAAAAGATGCGGTGACTGGATGTGCAGAAGCACTTCTCTCTTTTTTTTTTTTTTTTTTTTTTTTTTTCCCCTTAAGAACTGCCATTTTAGCTGTAGCAAACAAACACGCCGCATTGTCCCCGCGACACGACTCCCTCCGACAACCCGGCAGAACCCTGCCTGCAAATCCCCGCTGCCTGCGCACTGCCAGCCCCGTCCTGCCACCACTGAGCATCCCAGCTCCCGGGGAAAGGAGGTTTTGGCCCCGGGAAAGAGGAGAAAATTGGGGTTGAGCTCAGTCTGTGGGGCTGGCAGTGGCGTGGCGGGCAGATGTGGAGCGGGGACGGCGCTGATCGCAGCTGTTTCACCTCCAGCCTCTTCCCGTTTCATTTCATCTCCCCTTGGATGCTGGCCCGGGGAGGGGGGGGTAATAAAAAAAAAACCCAGCTCTTTCATCCTCAAAAATGGTCTGGCACCCTCTTGCACTGAGCTCAAAGCAGCGAGATTAAAGAGCTGGCAGAGGAGGGGAGAAAGGGGACCGGTCCCCAGGAGGGCTGGGTTTGGGGTCCATCGCTCTCGTCCCAGCCCGCACCCCGAGCTGTGGTGGGCACAGCGATGGGATGGGGACGGTGGGCTTTGGTGTCGGCCCCTTTGCTGCCGTCCTGTTAAAAAGGCTCCCTGAGCACACGTGGAGTGAGGGACACGGCAGGGACCCCGGCTCGTGTGGGCAGGGAACGGGGACCCCATTGCCATAGGAACAGGGACCGGGGATGCCGGCACATGCTGGCAGGGGATTGAGGACCCCAATGTCACAGGGAGAAGGACGAGGGAGCCCAGCACATGCACGCAGGGGACTGGGGACCACGATGGCATGGGGATGGGGACTAGGGACCCCGCACATGCAAGAAGGGGAATGGGAACCCCGATGCTGCAGAAACAAGGAGCAGAGACCTCAGCACGCACAGGCAGGGGACAAGGGACACCACTGTCATAGGGATGGGGACACTGGCGCGCACAAACAGGGGACCAAGGACCCTGATGCGGTGGGGATGGGGACCAGGGAACTCCAGCACACGTCGGCAGGGGGTCAGGAACCCCATTGCTATGGGGACAGGGACACACAATGCCACAGGGACAGGGGACACCGGCACACATAGGCAGGGGACCGAGGACCCTGATACCACATGGATGTGGACCAGTGACCCCAGAGCACACAGGCAGGGGACCAGGGACCCTGATGATGTGGGGATGAGGACCGGGGACCCCAGCCCGTGAAGACAGGAATCCAAAGACCCCGATGTTGTGGGGACAGGGACTGGGGACACCAGCACATGCACAATGCCATAGGGATGGGGACCAGGGACCCCAGAACACATGGGCAGGGTACCCCAACACATGCAGGCAGTGGACCAAGGACCCCAGTGCCGTGGGGACAGCTCACTCCCAAGTGTGCCAGCACCGGGGACACCCCAGGAAAGGCTTTTTGAGACACAGACCCACAGCACAACCGCGCGTCCCAGAGGCACCGCGCCACCGCTTTGCCATCCCTGTCCCCAGTGGGGCCAGCAAAGCCCCACCAGGAAAGGCCAAAGTGGGGGGTGGGACATTTTGCTTTTCCAAGGTCCCACCAGCTCCTCCTCCGAGCCACCTCTCCCCTTAATTACCTGCGATAAAGAGTCCACGTCAGTAATCCGAAAAACAAACCTCGTCACAGCTAATTAGGTGCCAAAGGCCAAGAGCAGGGCTCGTTTATGGGGTCACCGTAACAATCTGCAAGGACTCTGCTCCGGCGCTGCCCATCCCTCCCCAGCATGATGCAACTTCGGGGCCGCACCGGCGCTCACCGCATCCCGGCACCCCGGCACCTAGGAAGGGGTCTTATTTTGCAAAGCATCCGTGGATCCGGAGGCGGCCCCGGCGTTGGCGGGCAGGCGGGTGCAACGCGCCGGCGCATCCCGGGTGCGAGATCTGAAGCATCCCCGTCCCTCGAAAACACGTGGTGCCGAAGCCGCTCACCGCGGACTCAAAACTTCGGGGCGGCCCCATGTTTCGGCACGCTCTCCCTGACCTCGGGGACGTCCCCCGGTGCCACCAGCACCCACAGCCGGTCGGATCCTGCCTGCCGCCAAACCACGCTGCTCTTGGCACCGGGATAACCCAAATCGCCACCTTGGTGGGCAAATGAGACCCCTCCAAGGGAGGACATGCCGCCTCTAGTCCCCACCTCCATCCTACCCCCGTTATCCCCTGGCGTGACGAAAAGCCGGGGGCCAACCCCACCAGACCCCGTGTCCTCGTCACGGCGAGGGATGACAGCTGCCAGCGGACGGGTTACGTCAGGGTGACGTCACGCCAGGGGAGCCTCATCGCCCTTGTTAGCATCACCCGCCGTACCTCTGAGCTCAGCACATTTAGGGGATGGAGGGGAAAGGATTAATAAAAATAATATTTAAAAAAAAAAAAAAAAAAAAGCAAAACAAACAACTGAAAAGCAATGGGGTAATAAGGATGGGGGGGGTCACTTTAGGGCTTAGCCCCCCCCCATCCGTCCCCTCCCCCCCCAGCTGCTGGAGAGAAAGAAAAGGGATAAAAGAGTGAAAATAGTCAAAAATCACCCAAAAAGGGGAGCGGGGCAGAGCCGGGCCCCGGCCGGGCGGTGCGTGTCCGTCCCCCCCCCCCGGCCCCGCCGCTTTGTCCTCCCGGCCCCGCCGCGCCTCCGCGCCCGCCGCTGCTCATCCGCGCCCGCGGAGCCACAAAACACGCGCAAACACCGCGGGGGTGGGGGGGGGGGAAAGGGGGGCGACTTCCCCCCCCCCCCCCCCGCCTCAGCCCACCCCGGCGTTGCATGTCCATTGCGGGGGGGGGGGGGGGGGGGGAGGTTGCACGGGTGGGATGCCGTGGGGGATGCACAGGGGGGAATACAGGGGGGGGTGCCTGGGGGTGGGGGAAAGAGGGGAGGGTGTTTTTCGGGGCGGAGGGGGGGTACTTACCTCGCCGCTCCCCCCGCCGCTGCCCCCTCGCAGCCCCCGCCGGGCCCCGGCACGGATCCGGCCCTCAGGAGGAAGCCATCTTGTCTCCCTCTCCTCCGCGCTCCCTCACCGCCGCCCTGCTGCAGCCGGGGGGGTGTTTGACCGGCGCATCTCTTCTTCCCCCCCCCCCCCCCCTCCTCCTCCTCCTCCTCCTCCTCCTCCTCCTGCTGCTGCTTCTCCTTCTCCTCCTTCCCCCTCCGCGCAACACGCACCCCCCCCCCCTCCCCACGCGTAACCCCCCCCCACCCCCCCCCACGCAGCGCGACACCGCCCGCCCGCTCCCCCCGCCGGGGCCGCGAGCCGATCCCGGCCGCTGCGCAAGAGCGGGGGCGGCGGGGGGGTGACGGACAGACGGACACGGACACGCGGGGGTATAGGTGTGTGTGTGTGTCTGTGTGTGCCTCCTTCCCACGCCGCGATGCGCCCCCGACCCCGCCGGTGCCGCTCCCCGCCCCCCCCGCAAAAAAAAAATACTGGGTAACAGGACCCTCAAACCCCACTCGTGTGTGTGTGTGTCCCACGGGAAACTGAGGCAGCAGCCCACGCTGGTGAGCAGGAACAGCACCACACAGGGGACAGACCCCCTATAACAGGCAAGGGACCCCCAAAACCATGCTTTGCCCCCCCTCAAAATATTATCCTGCCATTAAAACCCCCAGCACCCTCGTTAATTTGGGGATGTCGTTAATTTGGGGACATTGTTAATTTGGGGCCCTCGTTAATTTTGGGGCTGTCGGAGCTTTGCAAGGCTTAAATCCCCCACCAAAACCCACACATCTCCTGGCTGCCCCCTTCTCTCCAAAATCCAGACCCTGGTGAGGAAAGGCGGGACACACGCACACACACACACACACACACACACATTTTCCCATGGGAAAAGCAGTGGGAATGGGCCGGCGAAAGGGTTAAGCCGGGGCTGGAGTCCTTAAAACAGCCCTGATGGGATCAGCTCCAGCTTTTCCAACTCCTGTCCGGAGCTGGCAGGTCTCCGCTATGATGCACACGTGTATTTGTAAGGGGGGAGAAGGAAAAAGGGGAGCGGGAAAGCAAATTCCCCCAGAGCCTTCCCCATCCAGGGCTTAGAGGTGATGCTCCAACCCGCTGTGGGTTTTCCAAGCCTATTCCCAACCAAATCGCTGGCAAAACTTCTACAAGGTCCCAAACGTTTCCCAGGAGCATCCTGGTGAAAACTTGTTTTCCAAAGGGATTTGCAGAAGGAGCAATCCAAGGAGCCCCAGGCCTGTGTAATGCCCAGCGGGACGGATAAACCAGATGCCGAGTCCAGGTGGAAAATGCAACCACAGACCCGACATCCCCGTCCCTGTGGTATTGGCTCAGGCTCATCTCTTCCCGAAAAGGCCGAGAGCCCTATTGCAACGCCGAGCCGGAGCGTGCCGGGATCCGACCTTTGCTCCGAGCACTGCGACTCCCACGGGAATAAATAGCATAAACCGGAGCCGGGAACTGGGTTTCCCCCAATGTCCAACCTTGCGCAACAGCGCTGCAGGCTGCAAACCCCTTTTGCCCAGCCAAGCTCGGCACCGCCGCGCAACAGGTCGCTGCAAAAAGCACGGAGGGGGGGATTTAATTAACACAGACGCCTCCTTCCTCCCATCCTCCTCCACCTCCTCCGGCCGGACAGGGCAGCACAGCCGCCAGCAACCACCCGGTGATTTGCTCCCCAATCATTTTAGCTGTTAACAATCACAACCGAGATCTGAAATATTTTTAGCGGAGGCATGGTAACGGCGAGCATCGCTCCGGATTAACCGAGGACATCCTCCCGGCAGGCGGGTGATGGTCCTTCGGGTGACACTGGGATGCGCCAGCCAAAAATGAGACGAACCCCAGGCAGTGCTTCATCCCCTCCACCACCCCGGTGGATTTTTGGAGACGCCAGACCCAGTTTGGGGTGAAAAAAAAAAAAAAAAAAACAACCCACCCCAACCCATTAGGAAAACCCCTCGAGATGGACAAATTTAGTAACTTTTTATTAGTAATGCTTTAAATGAGATTATCCCTAATCTCCAGCGTTTGGCACCGAGACAGCCTGCCAAATTCAGTTAAGGGCTCTCATTTCCCAACGTCAGGGACGTGCCGGGGATGTGCCAGGGACACCTTGAGCTGCATCACATCCCACCACCACCCGGCAAAGGGGTTTGGGGGTCCTGGTGTAACTGTTCCTGCTGGGAATGGAGCTTCCCGTGGGGTTTATTTAAGGGTTTTTCCCCCTGAAGGTGAGGGAGATGGGTCAGAGCGTCCTCCCCTCCACCAGCCCCGATCATTGCTGGGTGGGTTGGGTGGCTCTTGTTAGAAACCGGCGGCTCTCTGGCGCGGAGCGCGGCTTTGCTGTATATTTTACCACGGCAGTAATGAGCAGGTTCCCAAGACGTTGATTAGTTATGCAAATGGCAAAGGCATCGAGAGCCACCCGGGGAGGGCGGGAGAGGGTCCAGCGGTGCTGCAGGCCCGGGAGCAGAGCGAAACCTCGACCTCTGGCGTCTTCCCTCCTCCTCCTCCTCTCCCCAAATCCTCGTGGATGAGGACGCATCGCCCAGCGCGGAAATCAACTCCCAAGGGAGAGGGCACAAGCGCGGCTCCAGCGATGGAGGTACGAGGGGAGATGCCGGCTTTCCCAGGCCCGGCCAAGCTGGAGGAACGGGCAGAACCGGTGCTGGGGAAAGAGGCTGGCTCCCCGGCTTGCTTCATCTGCCAAACCACCCCGGGAAAGGCGCCGGGACGTGGGAACCGCGGCACACCCCTCGCTCGGCTGCCGGCACCACCAGGACCAGCCCGGGGTGAGCAGGGACCCGCCGGCACTTGGGTTCCCCGGGGGAATCCCACCACTGCCGACCCCGGCTCCGGCAGCATCTTTATAAATCATCTTTTTTAGCACATCCACCCTGGAAAAGCACCGGGGCTCAAATCCCTGCCGTCAGCCGTTTTCACCGGCGCTTTGCCAAGGGCAAAGTCCTTCCCCCTGCCCTGCCATGTGCCAAGAGCCAGCCGAGCCGCTTTGTCCCCACGTCCCCACCACCCCAGCCCACCGGCCGTCCCAAGGGCAAAACCTGCTGGATACAACTCAGAGGCGCAAGGCAGCTGCTCACCCCCCCCAGTACCCCCAAAAAGCAAATTAGCAGTAATTTTGGGGCGAGCAAAGTCCTAAAAATAAACCCCAAGCAGGAGATGTTTCCCCCTCCTCACCTCTCCACTGCAGAGACACCCCCCCCCCAGCCGGAGCAGACCCCCCCACACCTCTTTGTGCACGGCAGGTGTGATATTAAAAATCCCTGTTATAACCACCCCGGCCGGTAAAACCAGAAGTGCCGAAGGAAGGCATTGTAATTTTTGGTGGAGAAAATGCCGTGACTTGTTAGGTTGGCAATGCTCCCCCCAGGCATGGCTCTGGCCCCCCAACATGCCCCCTTCCTCGCCACCCTCTCCTTTTTGGGGATCCCCCCCCAATGGTACCCAGGTGGGTTTCACGCAGCGTTTTGCTCTTTTATACCAAGAAATTCAAAGAAATTCAATTTAAAGGTAGGGTTTGTCCCGTGCATCCCACTGCCACCCACCCTGCAGCAGTGTTTTGGGGATGCCTCAAGGACAAGCTGAGATTTTGAGGGGGTTTAAGGCATCAAAGCAGCTTTTAAGGCAGCAGAAGGTCTCATTTCCCGCAGAAATACCCTTAAAAAAAATAAAACCATCAACCAACCAAGGAGGGGCTTTCCCTGCCCACCCCGACGAGCCTCCCTACAACTTAGGGTGACGTTACAACTACCGCAAAGAGTCCACAAATCACCCCAAAAAGATGAAATTGTCCCAAAAAGGAGGGGGGCACACACAGAGATTGGGGGGGGGGGGGGGGGGGGGGGAGCACTCACCTCCCGGCGGAGCCCTTCGCACCTCTCCATCTCGCTCCGGGGCCGAACGTTAGATTTCGGGGCTCCCCCCAGCCGCGGCAGAGCGGGGGGAACCGGCGGCTGGATGGATGAAGCGGGTCCTCGGCGAGAGGGACATAACGCCGTCACCGTCCCCCGTGCCGTGGGGCCGCCGGTGACTTCTGTGGGAACAGAGACGGAGCTGAGCGAAGCACCCGGCTGACGCGAGTCACCCCGACTTTTCATTTCCACGCCGTTTCCACCCCGGGGGCGGCCCTGCTGACTCCCCACCCCTCCTTCCCCCTAAACTCCCACCAAAACGGGGTGCTGCGCCCCCCCCCCCCCATCCCACCCTTTTATTTTCATTTTTTCCCCCAACCCCCGTTTTGCGCTTTTTCTTTTTCTTTTTTTTTTTTTTTTTCCCTTAAAACCACGCCACTTTGCACAACTTCACCCCGCCGCCGCACAACTTCAGCCGCGCACCCGCAACTTTCCACGCCGCCCCCCCCACGCCCCCCCTCCCCTCCCCCTCCACTTTCCCATTTAGATATAAAGAGCATTACCGGAAAAAAGGGGTACGGCCCCCCCTTGGAAACGGGGGGCCGGGTGGGTTCGACCCGGAGCTAAGTGCATGCACGGCGTGGGGTGTTCGGGGGGGGGGGGGGGGAAGGAAAAACGGGGTTGCAATGTGGCTGCAAATTGTGGGCCCCCCCCCCCGGGTGGGTGTTGCAGAGGAGCTGCACGTTGTTGCTGCTGCTGCTGCTGCTTCCTTTGTTCTGCAGGCGCCCGCTCAGGGGGACCCGCCGGACCGGCCGGGGGGCTCCAGGCCAGCCCCCCGCACCCCCCACAATGCTTTGCAGCAAGCAAGGAGGGGGGGTGGCACCCAGACCCTCTGGGGTTATGGGGGGGGGGGGGTTGGAAGGGGGGAGGGGTTGCGGCCCACTGGTGTTGGAGGTTTTTTTGGGGGGGGGGTGGGGGGAGTTGAGGAGGAGGGTTGTGGGGATGTTTATTGTAGGGTCGCCGGGTATTTGGGGGGGGGGGGGGGGGGGGCGGGTTGTTATTGTAGGGTGGTTGGATGGGGGTGGGTGGGGTGGTGGGGGGTGCGTCGGGTTGTTCTTGTAGGGTTGGCAGCTGCGGGTCCATACCAGGTTGTCGGGCATGGGGCTGTGCCGGGTTGTTATTGTAGGGTCGCCGGACGTGGGGCTGTGCTGGGTTGTTATTGTAGGGTCGCCGGACGTGGGTCCATGTCAGCGTCCCCGTTCTGTTGTTATTGTAGGGTCGTCGAGGGGTGTGGGGGTGTGTGTGGGGGGGTGGTCCGTGCAGCTCCTGCTCTGTTATTGTAGGGTCGCTGGAGAAGACCCCGGGGGTGGCAGCCCGGCTCCTGTGTACCCCACCCTGCCCTACAGCCTGCCCCGCAGGCCCCCCCAAACCCCCCACCCCAAATCCTATCCCATAGCCCCCCAACTCCTGCCCCAAAGCCCCCTCCCCAAATCGCCCCTTCCCGCCCCAAACCACCCCATCCCCAACCCGGCAGGTGCCCCCACCACGTGCTCGGCCCCGCCCCCTGCCGGCCCCGCCCCCTCCGTGTTTATGTAGGGTCGCCATCCCCGCCACAACCTCCCCTAAAGGTAAAGGGGGGGGGTGGTGCTGCCATCCCTGCCGCCCCTCCAGCCTGGGGGGATTCCCCCTCTCCCAAAGGGGAACCCCTAAAGAGCCAACCCCTCTCCCCAGCAAAAAACACCCAACGGGTGCCAAATCCTCATGATTTTCCCCCAAACCCAGCCCAGCCTGACCCACGCTTGGGTGGGCCTCGGGGCACCGTCCCCCCCCACCTCCACGGGGTCACCCCCACCCACAAACACCCCAAAACTGTAGGAACAATAATGACAGGGGGTGCACAGCACCCACTGAAGCCACCCCCCCCCCTTAGCAGTTCAAGACGCACAAGAGCTCAATGTCACTTTTAATTTAAGGGGAAAAAAAAATATCTATATAAATAATAAAATATGGGGGTTGGTGTAACTTCTGCATGAGCCACGAGGATTTTTCGTTGGAATTTAACCAGCGCATTAAATCCACCTCAGGGAGCATCCCCGGCTCTGCCCGCCCCCGCCCAGGGATCCCCCAAAATGGGGAGGGGGTTGTGGCGGTGACCTGGTCCCCTACGCGTGCTGGGGGGAGCACGGGGGTCATGCCACGCTGCCCCGGAGCTCATCACACGGCTGCGCCTCCGATTATTCGCCTTAAAACCATCCTGTGCTTGTCCAGCACCTTAAATACACCCCTCGCCCAAAATAAAAGGATGGGGGGGGTGGGGGGCTGGCTGGGGCCTGGGACTTGTCCCTTGTCCTTGGCATCGGGATCTTCGGTCAGAGCTCGCGGCGGTTGATGCTCCTCAGAGAGGGTCGGGGCACGATGGCAAATCTTTGGCTCGCAGCGCCGTCTCAAAAGCCTCCACCTGCAAGGAGAAGCTGATTGAGAATTCGGCACCGGGATGGCCAAAGTTTAAAGCAGCTTGGAGAGAGAGGGCGTGGAAATTATTTTTTGCCGTGGAAAAATGAGGCTGGGAGGTGGGATGCCGCCTCGGCCGTGCCCACCTGCGCCATGAGGACGCCCTGCACGGCCGCGTCGTGCTCGAAGTCCTCGTCCACATCCAGCACCAGGACGGGCGTGTGCTTCACGCTCGCAAAGTGGACCCTGAAGATGGGAGGGGAGGGTTGAAACAAAGAAAACTCCCCCAACAGGGAGGGGGTGGGTCACCCCAAAACCACAGCCCGGGCCGGGTGCCGGGGCCGGATTGGGACTCACTCCGTGGTCTTCTCCACCAGCCAGTGCTCGTGCTGGGCGTGGAGCTGCTGCAGGTACCTCAGCTGGATGCTCCTCTCCTCGCTCCTTGCCCTCCGCCGCAGCCGCTCCAGGCACGTCTGCACCCACGTGGGAGACGGGAGGTTAACGGGAGAGATGGGAGAGACGGGAGGTTAACGGGAGAGACGGGGGAGATGGGAGGTTAATGGGAGAGACAGGGGAGACGGGAGGTTAACGGGAGAGATGGGAGAGACGGGAGGTTAACGGGAGAGACGGGAGGTTAACGGGAGAGACGGGAGGTTAACGGGAGAGACGGGAGGTTAACGGGAGAGACGGGAGGTTAATGGGAGAGACGGGAGGTTAATGGGAGAGACGGGAGGTTAACGGGATGCAGGAAAGACAGGAGGTTAACGGGAGAGATGGGAGAGTCGGGAGGTTAACGGGAGAGATGGAAGGTTAAAGGGATGCAGGAGAGACAGGAGGTTAATGGGAGAGATGGGAGAGACGGGAGGTTAACGGGATGCGGGAGAAACGGGAGGTTAACGGGAGAGACAGGAGGTTACCAGGAGAGATGGGATAGATGGGAGGTTAACGGGAGAGATGGGAGAGACAGGAGGTTAACAGGATACAGGAGTCTGGCAAAGCAGTCCCCAGGGGATGTCCGGGGAGGATGCTGCAGCTCCCTCTCCCCCAAATCCACTCTAGGATCTGTAGCAAAACTCCCAAGGACATTCCCACGGGACCGGGAGCAGGTCCTGCTCCTCCGGGCCAGCAATTTAGGCTTCAAACCCACCATTTTAGCAATTCCAGGTGCTCGACGGAACCCGAGCGGAGCCGAACGCCCGCCACAGCCCCCAAGCTGCCGAATGCGGGGGCTCCAGCCGGCACCCACCTCTGGCCAGCACCCACCTCCGGCGTTGCCCGCAGGTAGAGGAAGCCGTGGAGGGCGGCGCGGGGCCCCAGGTGCCGCAGGAGGAAGCCGTGCCAGTCCTGGTAAATGGCCCACTCCAGTGGCTGCAGGTGCCCGGCCTCAAAGAGGTTCTTGGCAAAGACGTACCTGGAGGGATGGAGAGAGGGGACAGGGCAGCTGGCGCCTCCAAGCCATCCCCACGCCCAGGCGGCTTCACGCCCATTTTTTTTCCACCTTTTTTTGCACCAATTGGGACCTGCGGGCATTTAATTAAGGTGGAAATCTTTAATTTGGGGCTGAGTGATGTATAAGGAGGGACACGCGGTGCAGCTCGCCGTTACCCAGCCCATCCATCACCCGAGGGATTTTAAGCCGCCGCCTGACGCAGGTGAGGACGGGGCGGCCACCAGCAAAGATTATTTGGGGGATAACGAAGCCTCAAAATTATCCAACAGGCGCGTTGCTGTAATGAAGCATCGCCCCAGGCTTCACTGGCGACTGTGGCTCTGCTCACCCCAGGGGTCCCAGGGGACACAACCCCGGCGGATGCTCGTTATCCCATTTAAACCCTTTCATCCCCCTGCTTTCCGATGTTAATTCGGGGGGTGCTGCGTACCTGTCGCTGTAGACGGAGCGCTCGAAGACCTGCACGGGGTGGGGGGTCCCGGGGAGCTGCTGGGGCGGCGGCTCCAGCATCGCCTTCAGCCGGCTGATGCAGGAGAAGGTCTGGAAGGTGTAGGACCAGCGAGCCGGCTCCTGGTACATCATCTGGAGAAGGTTGGCGGAGCCCACGGGCGCCTGCGGAGGACGAGCTGGGGGTTGAGGTTGTCCCAGCGCGGCGGGGTGCCGAACGGTGCCCGCGATGCAGCCGGTTCCCCGCCGTTACCTCCGCCGGGCCGCCGGCCGGCACCTTTCGCCATTGTGCCACGGGTTCGGTCACAAAGTGCCACTCGGGGAAGGTGGCACCCAGCAGCTTCAGGAAGGTGGATTTCCCCACGGCTGCGGGAGGGGACGGACACACGGACACACGGACACACGGACACACACACACACAGAGCGCAGGCTCAGCCTGTGTGACACCCCCCACCATGGGGTAACGCAGGTTTTCAGGGTGAACCCCCACCACCACCCCCAAGCCGAGCAGCGATAATAATTCATTAAACTGGACCCCGAGAGGCTTCAGGCTGCGGCCCCCTAAATCCCACCCCCCCCGCCTCCATCGCATCCCAAATCCTCCCGCCACCCCACCCCCACCCAGCCCTTTCCCCTGGCAGCCCCCCCCCCGCACTCCAAAATGCCCTCCCACCCCCAAAAGCCCCCATCCCTCCCCTTGTCACCCCGGGACCCCCCGTTCTCCCGCACCCCCCCCCCTCCCCGGTACCGATGTTCCCCTCCAGGGCCAGGCGCAGGGCGGCCCCGCACCGCCCCATTGCGCCACCGCTTCCGCCTTCCCGCGTCATATGCTAATGAAATGGTAATGAGCGGCGCGCGTACATGCTAATGACGTCAGCACGCGGGAAGCGCGGGGGGGAGGGGGAGGGAGGAGGGGAAAACAGACGCGGAAGCGGCGGATAGAGGCGCGCGTGGTGCTGGGGGTGGTATGGTAATTTATGCAAATATGGCTCCGCCCACGAGTCATGTCCCGGCATCGCTGGAGAAGGGGAGAGGGCGGGGCACCGGCACGGGGTGGGGACACCAGTGTGGGGTCGGGGGGCACCAACATAGGATCAAGGGCATTGACATGGGGTCAAGGGCATCAACATGACATTGGGGGCACTGGGGTGGGGTGGGGGGCACCCGCGTGGGGTCAAGGGCACCAAGAGAGGGTTGAGGGCACCAACGTGCAGGAAAGGGCATCAGGACAGAGTTGGGGGCATCAACACAGGGCTGGGAACACCATCATGAGGTCAAGGGCGTCAAGACAGAGTTGGAGGTATCATGGGGGGTTGGGGGCCCCAACATGGGGTCAAGGGTGTTGATATGGGGTGGGGGGTGACAATGGGAGGTCAAGGGTGTTGATATGGGGCAGGGGGTGACAATGGGAGGTCAAGGGTGTTGACACAGGGATGGAGGCATCAGCGTGGGGTCAAGGGCATCAACATGGGGTTGGGGACATTGAGTCAGAGTCAAGGGCATCAGCATGACGTCATGGGCACCAATGTGAAATTGGGGCTCCCCCACCCCTTGTCCCATTACCCTCAGCGCCCCCCCCCCCCCCAACCCTTCCCACACCCCAACTCCCCAAAATCTCCCAGAAAAGGGGCAGAGCCTGGAGAAAAGGCTTTAATGCACAGTGGGTGGCAGGGAGGAGCAGCGGGGACCGAGGAGGAGCGGAGCACCCCAACCCGGGCAGGGGGGGCCGCTGTGGGGAGGGGGCTTAGAAGCATTTTCGGTGGACGATGGAGGGTCCGGCCTCGTCGTACTCGGGTTTGCTGATCCACATCTGCTGGAAGGTGGAGAGGGACGCCAGGATGGAGCCGCCGATCCACACCGAGTACTTCCGCTCCGGTGGGGCGATGATCTGCCAAGACACGAGCCGTTAAGATGCACCCCTTGATCCAATCCCCCCCTCCCAAAACTGCACCAGGAGAGGATTTGGGGTGTCTGTGGACACGGCTTGCACCCCACCACCACCTACTTTGATCTTCATGGTGCTGGGAGCCAGCGCCGTGATTTCCTTCTGCATGCGGTCGGCGATGCCGGGGTACATGGTGGTGCCGCCGGACAACACGTTGTTGGCGTAGAGGTCCTTGCGGATGTCGATGTCACACTTCATGATGGAGTTGTAGGTTGTCTCGTGGATGCCGGCTGACTCCATGCCTGAGGTGGAAAGGGGTTGTCAGCACCTTGGCTCCCACCCACCCGTGCCTCCTCAGGGCTCCCCAAAAGAGCCATACGGGGTCACCCGTGGGTTTGTCCCCCCATTTGAGGTGCAAAGTGCTTGGGGGAGCCCTGAAACACCACTGTGGGGCACCCACAGGAGCTGGTCGCCCATGGATGGGGTGGGAGGGATGGGGGGGCAACCACTTAGAGAACAGCCAGGACAATTTGGGGGGGGCTCACCGATGAAGGAGGGTTGGAAGAGGGTCTCTGGGCAGCGGAAACGCTCGTTCCCGATGGTGATGACCTGCCCATCAGGGAGCTCGTAGCTTTTCTCCAACGAGGAGGAGGAAGCAGCCGTGGCCATCTCGTTCTCAAAGTCAAGGGCCACGTAGCAGAGCTTCTCCTTGATGTCACGCACGATTTCCCGCTCGGCTGTGGGAGACGATGGCAAAGAGGCTCAACACGGTGCTGCGCCAGCACCACAGGGTCCCCCATCACCCCGTACCCCCCTCCCCGGCCCAGTACCGGTGGTGACGAAGGAGTAGCCCCTCTCAGTGAGGATCTTCATGAGGTAGTCAGTGAGGTCGCGGCCGGCCAAGTCGAGACGCATGATGGCGTGGGGCAGAGCGTAGCCCTCGTAGATGGGCACGTTGTGGGTGACGCCGTCCCCAGAGTCGAGGACAATGCCTGGGAAGGGAGGGAAGGGGAGGGAGGGGGCTCGAAGCCAGCTTGGTCCCTTCTCCAGCATGGATGATCCCCGGGATGCCACATGTCCCACTCACCGGTCGTGCGGCCGGAGGCGTAGAGGGAGAGGACGGCTTGGATGGCGACGTACATGGCGGGGACGTTAAAGGTTTCAAACATGATCTGGGGGAGGGGGAAAGGTGAGAGGGGCAGTGGGTTAGGGGGGGCATGGGGCTCCCCAGTGGCATCCCACCCCATGGGGGCTGCGCCTTCCCAGAGAGACGGGGTCATGGAAAAACACATGGGTAGTTGCATTGCATGGAAAAATAGGTGGAACGTTGTGTTTCAGAGGGTCCATCCCTGTCCCCGAGGGTCCCGCGGCACCTTACCTGGGTCATCTTCTCCCGGTTGGCCTTGGGGTTGAGGGGTGCCTCGGTGAGCAGGGTTGGGTGCTCCTCAGGGGCCACGCGCAGCTCGTTGTAGAAGGAGTGATGCCAGATCTAGGGCGGGCAAAGGAGAATTGGGGTCCCACCCCAAACCAAAGCTGGGGTCAGCACCCACCCCCGGCCCCGGTGGCGGGGGGGGTCTCACCTTCTCCATGTCATCCCAGTTGGTGATGATGCCGTGCTCAATGGGGTACTTGAGCGTGAGGATCCCCCTCTTGCTCTGCGCCTCGTCGCCCACGTAGCTGTCTTTCTGCCCCATGCCTACCATGACACCCTAACGCCGGCAAGAGAAACCGCCTCGTGAGCCTCATTTTGGTGATTAAAGCAGGGTGGGGGGGTGGCTGGGGGGCTGCCACTCGCATCCCCTGGGTACCCACCTGGTGCCGGGGCCGCCCCACGATGGAGGGGAAGACGGCGCGGGGGGCATCGTCACCGGCAAAGCCGGCTTTGCAGAGACCGGAGCCGTTGTCGCAGACCAGGGCGGTGGTTTCCTCCTCGCACATGGTGGGGCCGGGAGTGGCTGGCGTTCAGGGGGACCTGGGGGAAAAGCTGGGGCGAGGTGGGGAAAACCAGTGTTAAAGGGCGGGTTGGTGGGAGAGGGTTACACCGCGCGCCACCGCCGCCGGCTTTGGATGTGGGAAGGGTTGGAGTCCTCAGGGGTCGCGTGGCCCCACAAAATCCTCCGAGGGGCAGCTGCTGGGTCTGGGCCTGGTGCAGCAATGCTGGGAGCAGGGTGATGCTTGTACCCCCCAGGGGTGCTGCTCCACACCGCTGTTGCTTCTCCATCCTTCGGCAGCCGGTGCCCAAAACGGGTGCCCAAAACCTCCTGCCTGCGCTCAGCCAGCAGCAGCGTTCCCCGGGGAGCTCTGGCGTTGCCGTCCCCGGCCGGTGCCCCCCGAGCGACCAGGGGGAAGGCAGGCGATGGCCCCTCGTCCAGTCCTGTCTTGGCAGCCCCTCGCTGCTCTGCCCTTGCATCCTTTCCCAAAAATGGGAAAAAAAAAAAAAAAAAAATAGCCCTTCCCAGAGGGCACCCTCCTCCACCGGTGGATATGCTCCCAAATCCAAACCTTGCAGGAGCCCAAAAAGAAAAAAAAAAAAAAAAAAATATCTCAAAATCGCCAGGATTTCTGGAAGAGCACAACCCGCTTTGGCTGCAGCCCAGCTCTTGTCGCCTCCACAGAAGCCCCCAGCTGCGGGGTCATCCCGGGGTTGGCACCCCCCTGTGCCACGCAAACCGAGCCGGGGCCGCCCCATAAGCACTGGGGCACCCCAAAAGCCCCCCGCAGGGGTTTTTCTTCCCACTTTCCTGCAAGCAAAAGGGAAACCAGGGCTGGGCAGTACTCACCGTGGAGGCGAGAGCTCCTTTCCTCTGGGACTGAGTCCCGATGAGCCTTTGGTATAAATACCAGCAAGCCCATGAAACCTCAGAGGCGGATCCTCTCTAAACAAAGACCCTAAATAGGCTAAGTGATGGTGTGTTAGCCATATGGCCATATAAGGTGTTTTATTTCATTAAATTGACCTTGGGCTGATGGTAGGACCCAGCATGGTTAATTATTATAAGAAAAATGTATGCGGGGATGCTTGGGAGGCAACATCCCATTTGTGAGTCCGTTCCTTTTATGCTCCGCTCTGATAAACAAGTGAGACACAAGTCCTTATAAGCGACGGTCTCGGCAAAAAGGAGGTGGAAGCATCTGCAGTTCCTGGGGAAAGCGTGGAGAAACCCCACCCGGGTGGAAGTGGGTGTTGGGGCTCTGCTGTGGGGGACACCCTGGAGCCGGGAATTTGGCATTGCTGAGACACTGGAAATGCACTGGGTTTGTGCATCGCTTCCTCCCAGCCTCGGTTCCTCCATGTCCCCGGAATCCAGCACCTTTGGGATGTCTCTCCCTGAGGTTTTCTCTCTCTGCCCCCATTTCTGGTCTTTCTGTGCCCCAAAACCCCTTGTCCCCCCAATCCTCAGCTCGAGCAGGGCCAGGACTCGTGGGTCTGAAGCCCAGACCTGCATCATGGGTGCACCCATCTCTCGTCTCATCCCTGGGAGGATTCTGGAGGCAGGATGAGCCCAGGCCCCCCCAAAGGGGGCAATACGGGTGCTGTGCCCCAGCCCCCAGCCCAAATGCAGAATGGGGGGTGGTGGTGGTGCTGGAGCCACCCCTGGCCCCGCAGATGCAGCCCTGGCAGGCAGCGAGTGGAGCCACAGGGGCCCACAGCCCACGCAGAGGCCAAACAGCAGCTGCCAAACTCCCAGCTGCCTTTTTAAGGGCAGCAGTCCCGCACCGGGGACACTCTCCGAGCACCCAGGGCGGGGGTGAGGTGGGAGAGATGCCCCGGAGCCACCACCCAGAGCTACGGGGACCGGGGTTAAAAATGGGGAAACTGAGGCACGGGGTGCCTGGGTTGAATCCTGCTTTGCTTTGCGGGGTCCCGAGCTGTGCTCGAGGCAAGGACATCAAGGCACTGATGCAGCAATAAGGACCCAGAGCTGCAGGGTCCCCCCACCACCAGAAGGGACCCAAGAATCCTGGTGTCCCCCCTGGCCCTGGACTCTGGGCTGTCACTCCTCGGGGCAGGAATGGGGACACAGTGTTCCCTAGCACGGCCAGCCTGCTCTCCCCTCCAACAATCTCCCCAGTCAGTGGCTCTGCCCCAGTTGTCCCCCTTCCTCCACCAAACCTCAGCACACAGGGGCTGGATGTGTCCCCCGGGTCCCCTGGCCATGCACTTGTTAATTCCCCGCTGCACGCCCCAAATCCCGGGGACCTGCCGCCACCTCCTGTCCCAAGCTGGTTCCCTTGGTCAGCTGCCAAACATGAGGTCACTGAGGCAAAAGGTTGCCATATATGACATGCTGGGGGGGGGGGGGGGGAAAGAAAAAAGAAAAAAAAGTTAAGCCCCAAACCCAGCAGAAATTGGGGGAAAAAAAGGGGGGGGGGGGTTGGCTGGAGGCAGCAGCCCATGCTGGCACTGGGAGAGCACTGTGGGGAGGGAGCATAATCGTGCTGGGGGGGGCAGCGTGGAGCTGGTGGCAGGACCCTGGCAGATGCCCCTCAGGGTGGGGGGGAACCGGAGACACCCCCAAACTGGCAATACACCCCCAAACTGGTATCAACCCCAGCCCCTCGCTCTGCAGCGCTGAGTCGCGTGGCTGCACCGGTGTTTGCCGGGCACAAGCACGGGCGGCTCCAGAATCCCCATCCCCGCAGGATCCCCAAACCGCCCCGACCCACGGGAAGCCCCGGCAGGGCCAGCGAGACACCGGGAGCGTGGCAGCAAAGCCCCAAGCCGGAGCAGGCGCGCAGCCTAAAAAGGAAAGGTTTGGCCAGGGCAGCCAATCCAGCTGCTGGCTCTGCCGGAGCCCGGCAGCCCCGGGATGCTCGCAGGAACGCCAAGCATCCCCCGGCACAAGCGAGGCTGGCCCAGGCTGGGATGAGGAGGCGGGGGATAGTCCCTGGTTTGCCGTGGGATTTCAAAACTCCCGGCGCGCAGGCCGGCCCTCGGCACCTCCCTATAAGGGTAACCTCTCGTGCTGCCGCTGAGGATGGACAAACCAGAGCTCAGGCAGGAATTTGGGTCTGTTCCCAGCCCCGAGGCAGAGATAAGCATCGCTCCTTGCCTGCAGGAACCCCCCCAAAACATGCAACCCACACTGTTGCAGAAAATAAACCATTACTACAAAGCACGGTTTCTGTTAGGGTTTAGCTCCTACCAAATTCAACCCCTCCTTCTGAGGGATTTTAAGGTATAAAAGTCCCATCTGGTGCAGGTGGCCAGATGGGGTGGGTCAGTGGGACACAGGCAGTGGAGCCAGGATATCGGCAGTCATCCCGACACACAAACTGATGACTCAGTGACTTTAAGTGAAAAAATGTGATTAAAAAGCCGCCAGCTCGGCGAGCAGGGCCAGGCGCGAGGCAGCAGCTGGCCCCTGACGTGAGAAGCGCAGCCCTTGCGCACGGCCGCGCTGTGAGGGATCTGAAAAATTCTCCGCGAGGGTTTATCAGTCACTGGGATGACTTATGAAGGAAGCAGTGATTTGCCACCAGCTCCCCTCCCCAGCTGGTGCTGGGGTCAGCTCAGACCCGAGACCCGAGCAATTCATTGTGATAGTCACTACCAAGTTGAAGGAATTGCCGCTTTCCAAGACGGGCTTTCACACCTCATGTCCCCATCAGGCTGAAGAGTAAACTGCTCCACTCTGCGCAGAGCTGTGGGGAGAACACCCCTCCACCGAGGCTGAAAACCCCACCCCTGAGCGTGGTTTAAATAAATTAGGTCTGAAAGTTCCCACAGACGCCCTGAAGTCCCCTTGCTTCCCTCCCGCTGCCGTGGGGGGGGGCCTGTTTCCAAAACCGACTGCGAAAATGATGGCAGGAGCAGTTTGTCACGCAGGAGTCAAGGAGGTGGCTGTTGCAAATAAACACAACCCCCTAAATAAATCAATTCCCTCGCTGCTCTCAGCCACGCTGGACCCCTCCAACCCACTGAGTTAGCTCAAAGAAAACAAGTGGCAAAAGAAACCCAGCCAAGATAATACAAGCCATCTGTGTTAAACTGTACACCAAAGAGTTTTGTGTGTAGAAGTACAAGGACATAACATCTAGAACACGTATGTATGCACGCCAGGTGGGAAGGCAACTCCAGCCTTCTTCCCCTCCCCGCACAGGCCATGTGCTGATCATCCCCAGCATCCTGCCAGAGGATGTGGAGATGTCGTGGATCACGCTCAGCCCTTTGAGGCCAGATGCCTTCCACCTTTCAACACTGCTGCTTCCCTTTCAACGCCGGCAGAAGCGAGGGCGGAGGGCTCAGCGCAGATAGCGCAGGGGAGGGAAACTGCTGCTTGGCATCTGGCAAAAGTAATTCGGAGGAGGTCCCCGGCTGATGTACCGCATAGCAGCGACGTCACGGAGCGCTTGGTTTTGGCAAGGACAGACTTTGCTCTGCTTTGAGGAGCACGGAGGCAACGGGGCACGGTGATCTTTGAGGATCGGAGCGACAAAAGCTGCTGGAGTCCCGTCTCAGAGAGGCGATGGCCTTGCAGAGCCTTCACACAACACCGCAGCCAAGAGACCGAGAGCCGCCTCCTCCACGGCAACACCAGCAACAAGCCCAACCCCAGGCCCCCGCCGGGCGGCCCAAGGGCCGGAGCGAATCCCCCATTCAGGAAAAAAGGAATAAAGGAACCGGACAGCCCTCCCCACTGCTGGAATGAAGCAGCTGGTGCAAAACAGTGCTGCATGCAGGCACCTTCTCCCCCAAAATGCTGAAACGGGGCTCCCAAAGGGTGTTGGGCCCCTTCGTAGCAGACTGGGCAAAGACCCAAGTACCAGGAAGCAGGAGTCGCTCCGGCTCAGCAGAGATAAGCTCTTGCATGGGGTGAGAGGCGTTAGGAAAGTTTAAGATTAAACTATAGCAAAGACTGATCTACTCCAGCCAGCTGCACTAAGACCACAGCAACCCAGAGAGAGAGGCAAAACAAAGCATGGGTTAATTTGGGCAAGTCCCACTTTGGAAAGCACTTGACGAGGTTTCCACACCTCATGGTTGCAGCAAATCACAGGGAATGACCCCCCTCCCTCACCCCCCCAGAGGCTGTTCAAGCCATAGATTAGAGTATTAAACAATTGCTTCAGTGTTAACTTCTGTCTTTGAACTTCCAGTTAGCTTTTCCCCACACCCTGAACCTCAGCACCACTTCGCCAGCCTGAGGCCAGGCACTGAGGTTTCATGTGCTCCCACCGAGGTGAGGGTGCTGATTTCACCGTGACTGGGGGAGGAAGGGGAAGGATCACTACACGGTAGAAATCATCTGCTACAAGGGGAAAATAAAATTCCCTAGGCCTAGAAGGCAGGTAGATGGTTTTCTGTAAATGGTTATGGCAAGAGGCCTATCGGAGATCCATCAGGACCACGTCTCTCTCGACTACTGACACATGATTGCAGGTCTGGAAGAGAGGGGAAGAGAAAGAGGGGACAGGGGGTTATTCAGATGTTCCCACAGCTCAGGTAAGTCTCCTCTACCTCCTGGCACAACCTGCACCCAGCATCCTTTGCAGAACAGCCCTCTCAGACCAGGAACCAGTGCACTGGCTGGTGCCACACAGAGACCATGGCAGGACACAAATACAAATCTCTCCAATAGAAGCCTCTGCCACTGCCTTGACCTGTTTCTGCAGAGGAGCGCTCTGCATCACGCCTCCAACACACGCTAACAAGTTAGAAAGCTTTTGCACCTCAACTCTAGGATTAGACAAGCCCCTGCCAGGCTGACCCTCCTGTCCTGGGTCACAACCTAGCACCCTGACACCGATATAAAGTCAAGTGAAGCGTCCAATATGCCAACTCGCAGTCCTACAGCCCCCGCTGCCTCGTGGGGTGACTTACAGTGAAGAGAGGGGGGTCTTTGGAGTGCGGGTGGAATCCT